CAGCTTTCACTGCATGCGGCCGAGCACTGTCCTGCAAAATGATGGGTGGGTTCTCCAGAAAGTGTCACCACTTCTTTCTCAAAGCTGGTCGCAGGCTGTGTTCCAAAAATGAACAGTAATACTGCGCATCGACAGTCTGCTGTCAAGGAACAGTATGCGTTAGGATAACGCCATCACAGTCGTACACGAGAATCACCATAACTTTCACATTGCTGGGGTTCTGATGAACTTTTGATTTTCGTGGTGACCTGTAATGATGCCATTCGTTGCTTGTACGATTTGGCTCATGTCTCATCCAGTGTAATGATACGGCGTAAGAAAGCCTCTCCTTCATGCTCATAATGCTCCAAGTGATTACGAGCAGCGTCGTATCGTAGTCATTTCTGCATTTCCGTCAAGTCATGCGGATCCCATCGTGATGCAGTTTTTCTCATGCCCATGCATTCCTTCAGAATGTGAAGCACAGTCGTATGCGCTAATCCTGTCTCTCGTGCCAGCTCACAAATCGTATGGCTTTGACCACTCTCCAGTAACGTGGAAAGAGCATACACTTCTTCTTCACTGACACTAGGACGACCTGGCCGACGCATGTCTGCCACATTTTGGTGTCCCTTGTTGAAGGCTTTTACCCACCTTGCCACTGTTCTGTAAGGCAATGCACATTCCCTGCAAGCCTCTTGAAGACCTTGATGACACTGTCGTGCTGTACGGCCTCTGGCACATTCAATCTTTATCCAACTCCATTTTTCCTGTTTCGAAATCATCGTGACAACACTACATTAGACGGCCAGCTAACACGAGGCTCTGTTCTTCTTGTCACTGCGCATGCATGTGATGTGGGAAGGGAGAGTCCATTTGCTCTGAGGTAAGGTAGGTATGTAACTAACATGTGGTATAAGCGACATTATTTAGTTCCGTTGCATGGCGTCTCTACAGCAGTGTTGCCACTATTAAAGTTCCAACCCTCATATATATACTGACAGTGGAACCACTATGTGGTCTAACAAATTACAAACGAAACTTAACCAGATTTTAGCACATTCTGGAAATTCTGTCATTATGCAGGTATTCCTGCCACTTCTGTAAAAAGTTTACATTTACTAACTGAAGTTCTTTCCTGGAAAAAGAGTAAACTCTAAACCTAAACCTTTAGTCTCCTGTGTAAGATATCAAGATTTTTTAAAAGACTGCTCAAGTCTAGCACAATTTCATCCATCTTTGCAGTGACCACTCAAGTGTTTCAATTCTGGTTCCCCCTTTCCACCTGTTTAGACTTCTATGGGTCATGAACCATGATTCACAATAATACATGCCAGCAATGAAAACAGACTTGCGTTGAAGGCAAGATTTGTGTCCAAAGAATACTATCAATGCACATGACAAAATGCACGGTGACCCTTACTGAATATGTTTAACATAAAATCTGCTTCCACAATCTGTAACTGTTGTTGCCATTGCTTCCAGCACTGCCTTCATTATTTACTGTGACCTGTGATGTACCATTTTAAGCACATCAGGCGAGTTTTAGAACAAGCACTATCACATGAAATGTGGGCTTTTCTAAAACCTGACTAAGTAGTATACTTAAATTTTCTCCTAACAACAGAGAACATGTCTAGCATCTCCTGTATTCTGGGTAAGCACTATTTTAATCTGTAAGGCCATCAGCTTGTCAGTTCCACTAGCGGTCCATATCTCTGAAGCATATATAGGCAGGATGAACATCAAATACTTTCACCTGAGCAGCTCAATGATTTGTAGGAAGCTCGAGGATGACTGCATCTAGAAATGCTGATAAGATAATAAGTTTTACATTAACAGGGTTGACTCCATGTGTTCTACATTACCTGAGTTTCTTTAGCAAATTGCATGAACTTCCACGCAATTTGTTTGATAGGCTGGACACGGCTGCCATCACTAGACTATCCAGGGCCTACAACATACAAGTCATGCTGTTACAGAATCAACAAGATTTTATTTGTTTCATGCTTGAAAACAGTGTCGTCAATCTTAAGTTCAATTTTATAAAAGTACATTTCATCATCTCTGCACATAAAATTGGTAGGGTAATTTAACAGTATAAGGGGTGTAGTGTCTCAACATTCAAAAAACAGTCTCAGCAAGAAACATGAAAATAACAGTTATGATTGCTAGGCCACACTGCACACCTGTCACCACATTTACAACCTGACAAATTCACACAAACCTCACCTCCAACTTATTTCTTCCTCGTAATGATGAATTTGAAGTGTTACTGTACAGAGAGGCTCGACTTCCTCCGAATGCACCTTCCAAAAGTGCCTATAAATCAAGAGTAGAGAAAGTAGATTTGGTGATATATACATTAAGGAAAACAAATCACAGACTATGTTACTTTTTGACACCTTGGTGGTACTCTGACCCTCATAGTTCACATAGCGGATGCATGGGAAGCTACAAATTAATGCCATTTAACAGTACAAAATGAGAAAGCTCCATAAGGTTGACAGTGCAGGAAGACATAAGGATCACTGGTTTCATTTCCACCTTCCCCCATAGGTTACACTGTTTCTTAGTCACCTACAAGCTCTATGAAATCATTTTAACTGATAAAATATAAACGATTATAAAAGCATATGCTGATCACAGTGGCGAAGCAGTCTAAGGCATGAAATGTGTTTGAATGCTGGGACTGTGGGTTTGAATCCCACTCAAGGCATGGATGTTTGTCTGTTTTTTGTAAGCTAGTGGCCTTGTGACAGCCTAATACCCTGTCCAAGGAGTCCTACAAACTGTCTAAGATTAAAAAACTGAGGTGAAACGAGCATTTCACGGATGCCCTATGCTCCAAGTAGGAACAACAGGAATACAGATAGAAAGATAGAGGCATATGGCCATATGGCTCACCAACACACAACAGAACACCTGACCCAGCAGGAACATTCAAGGCAGCCACATCCAACAAAACCAAAAGCAACCACATGCAACCCAAGGATAAATAAAACTGATGGTAACCCACATAACCAAAATAACCACAGGAAACTACTGTACGAGGAAAGAAAACTGCATTAAATGAGCAGCAGAATCCTTAACCATAACAACCTGTACACCTGAAGATGGCCAGTTAGGCTGAAATGTGTAGTGTCCAATAAAGGAATACAAAGAAAGACTAGTGAACGACATTGCACACACACACACAGCACAAAAGCGCCAAAGTCAGATCTATATAGTGCAAGAGGATGCCAAAATATAAGGCTATAGATGGGGTTTCGATTGGATTTACTGATTTGGATTTACTTACGCGACTCGTGACTACACTTAATTATAGTGCCTTCACTGATTTCCACGCTTTACTAATCACTACAGTACAAGCTAAAACTTTTCAGTCTGCTATGTCTTCACCAGACATTCCCTGCTAATGGGTTCTAACAGTGGGAATTCAACTGCACCGATCAAGTCTCCTCTTCACAGACACTCTTACAACTGCCTACCTTCTAAACTTGTCTCAGTTATAACATATAAACTTGGAGTGCATAAAAAACAGCATTCATTGTTGTACTCCGATTGTTTCCATGGGAACATGTTTGTTTGCAAAGGCATTACCAGCACAGCAGTGAATACTGTTTCACTGTTTGTTTCCAGATCATTACCTAGTAATGGGTCTGCACACTACAAAGTTAAGTAAAAATTTTTTATGAATAAGTATAGTACTGGTATCAAAAAGGATAATAATAGTATTCAGATATTCCACCAAAATGTGCAAAGTTTAAATAATAAAAAACTAAATATCGACATCCTATTATCAGATAAAGAACTAGATTCGGATGTACTATGCATCACAGAACACTGGTTATCCGAAAAAGAAATAGGCTACTATAATTTTGATAACTATTCTCTTATTATCAAAATTCTGTAGGGAAAACAAGAAGAATGGAGGTTCATGTATATACGTCAAATCTAATTTAGAAGCAAAACCTCTCAACTCATTTGATAAATTAAATCAAGAAGAGCACTTTGAAGCTAGTATAGCAGAACTTATCCAATATAATATAATTATCATCTGTGTCTATAGAACCCCAAATAGTAATATTAATATATTTATTGAAACCATGGATACAATAATAAATAATTTGATAAACAAAGGGAAGAAAATCGTTATAGTAGGCGATCTCAATATAGACTTTCTAAGGAAAAGGATAAATCAAAAACTGCAAACAATGCTGAACTCGTATGGCCTACAAGCAATAGTTGAGGCCCCAACGAGAATAGGACTCACGAGTCAAACAGCCATAGATCAAATAATAATCAATAAAGAGATATGGGAATATAATCTTAAGGTGACTGATACAGGCTTTTCTGACCACAAAGCACAGATATTGCAAATACAGACACAGTGTAAAAATAAAAAAGGACTAAATAGACTAAAGGAGGAAGTTAGAATAACTAGATCTTATAAAGAAGAAAATATACAATACTTAAACTATTTACTAAGAAAAGAAAACTGGGAACTGGTTCTTAAGCAAAACTCGGTAAATAATGCATACAATGAATTTTTAGGCACTTTGAGGCATTACTACGATATAGCAATGCCTAAAAAGAGGGTAAAAGTAATGAAACAGGAAAATAAATGGGTAACGGCAGGAATAAGGATATCTGGAAAAAAACTCAGGTTTCTTAATAGCCTAATGAAAGAAAAAAACATATCAGAAGGTCTTAGAAAATATTATAGAAATTATAAAAAAATATACAACAAAGTTATTAGTGAAGCAAAAAAGCTGACAAACAACATACAAATAAGATCATCCGAGAATAAATCAAGAGCCATGTGGGACATAGTCAAGGCTGAATTAGGTAATCAAAGGAAAACAGCTAAGAATATTGAAATAAACGTAAATGGAGTACACATACAGGATCCAAAAACTACAGCCAATCTTTTCAATGAATACTATACTAATGTAGCCAAAGAGATGATAAGCAAAAATCTAATAGTAAAAACCAATGAAATAGATATTAATATAGTAAAATATAATAGCAATAGCATGTTCCTAACCCCCACTACAAACGAGGAAGTGATAGAAGTAATTAAAGGAATGGGAAATAAAAAATCAGTAGGAATAGATGATATCCCTGATTATGTTATAAAAAAATGTTATCCTAAAATAACTCCTGCCTTAACATACATTATTAATCTGTCATTCTCGACAGGACAATTTCCTGAACAACTAAAAATGGCAAAAGTTAAACCCTTATATAAGAGAGGACCTGAAACAGAAGTAGGAAACTATAGACCAGTGTCATTACTCTCTGGCTTGTCAAAAATAATAGAAAAAATCATAAAGAAAAGACTACTATCATTTCTGAATAAATACGGCATAATTAGCACTAAACAGCATGGTTTCTGGAAAGGGAGATCAACAAATACTGCAATTGCAGATTTCATAGAAAAGGTTTACAAATCATTGGATGAAAGAGAAATAAGTATAGGGATATTTCTGGATTTATCAAAGGCTTTTGACTTGGTTGATCATGATATATTACTGAGGAAAATGTCAAGAATGGGAATAAGAGGGGTTGCATTGAAATGGTTTCAATCATATCTAGAAAATAGAGAACAAAGAGTTGAGATAGCATATAGATGTATAGAAACTAATGATTTAACTAGTTGTCTATCGCAAAAAAGACACATAAAATATGGAGTTCCACAGGGTTCTGTGCTTGGACCAGTTTTGTTTTTGATCTATATCAATGATTTAGAAACCAGCATTAAAGAAGGAAGACCAACGCTTTTTGCTGATGATACTAGCATATTTTTAGCAGCAAAAAATGCTAGTGATGCTCAAAGAAAAATAAATAAAACAATAAATACACTCACAGACTGGTTTGAAAGGAACAAGTTAATTATTAATAAAGAAAAAACAGTAGCAATATCATTTCATCAACCCCAAAAAATACAAACTGAATACCCTCTAATAAAGCTTAATGATACAGTCATTAGTTATATAGATTATACAAAGTTCCTAGGAGTTTGGATGGATAAAAATCTAAAGTGGCGTACACATACTCAACAGCTAGCAAATAAACTTTGTAAAATATGTTTTGCCCTAAGAATAATCAGTAGAGTAGCTGGGCCAGAGACTGTTCGTACTTTATATTATGCGTATTTTCAATCTATGTTAATATACGGATTGATATTCTGGGGTAATTCAGGAGAAGCAAAAGTGATCTTTAAGCTACAAAAAAGAGCTATTAGAATCATGATACAAATCCCGAAAACTGTTAGTTGCAAACAATATTTTAAACTGTTACATATATTACCCTTACCATGTCTATATATATATGAAGTGTTGGTTTACATAAAGGCAAATTTAAGTGCTTACTCAATCAATTCCGAAATACACTCATACAATACAAGGAGAAAGGATAACCTATATACAGTACCATGTAATACGAGTTTATGCAAAAACAACTTTAGTAATATAGGATGTCGGATGTTTAATCAGTTACCACAATATATTAAAGAGATACCAGTACTACACAAATTCAAAAAGACTCTGAAAACATTCTTGCTGGATCATTGTTTTTATAGGGTAGAAGACTTTTTCGTGGTTGGGGATAAATCAAATCATAATTACTAGTTATCATATACTTAATGAATAAAAGACTTACATCTTTACAATAACATATATGTGGGAATACCTTCTGCTCTGTTTTGTTTTTTACTCTTGCAGAGAACAGGATAGCAGGAGGTATTGGCTGGAACTACCCGGATAACGACAGATGACCATACTCTCCAACATCAATTTATAGGCCGCGCCAGAGCTTAAGTGATTAGTCGCTGGCTTCCCACCACTGTGATTTGAACAAGTGGGATTTGTGATAACAAACTGGCGCTGGGGCAGGTTTCCTCCGAGTACTTCGGTTTCCCCTGCCAAATAGGTTAAATAGGCTAAATAGCCGAAACATGTTGTTAATCTATTTTCAAATTTGATGTGTTGTGACTGATAAATATAGTGCTCATCATTTAATTATTATATTAGTATAAAATTATATTGTTCTTCTTATTATTCTATTATGGTATCATTGTATTGTCTTATTGTATCGTTGTATTGGAGTATAGAGTGTTTTGACTTGTCCTATGTCATGTATAATGATCCATGGATGTGAAGTGAATAAATAAATAATTCCACTGTAATAATGGTAACAAGAATTCTATGCACAAGGAAATCCAAACATCGAAGAATTCATATATAAGAACTTTTCACAAGCATAAAACCACAGGCTGACACAAATAAGTAAAAGGTGGACACACTGGAAATAATAAAACTATACAAACGCTATCTTATGTTGCCCCATTATAAGAATCAAGTGTGTCTCTATTCTCTGTAATTAAAAAACACCTAACAGAAGACTACAAGGATTTGTTCAGCCTTGATGAGACATGCATGGTGAAATTCCTATCACTTTAATACCTCATTTTAACATGTGGTTTTATATGTATGCACACATGCAGTATATAATCTATTTTAATTAAATTCAATTATGAGATGGATCAGATTTGAAACTAAATGCTAATAAATTCTTCAAACAGTTGTTTCTATTTCAGCAGTTTTTTACCCTTATGTATCATTCCCACCTGATGATGGCCAACTTTGCCCGAAACATGTAGTGGAACAGGCTGTAATTGAGTGAATAAGGTTTATGTGATGATATAACATTTATTATTTGTAGATTCAAAAAAGGATGCAACATTACAAAATTATGTAACTCTGTCACACAAGACAGTCTGCTTTTCCAACACTAGAGGGACTACATGAATACCTTGGAGGGGGACATGGGAGCAGTATGCAATGCTGGCTGTCCAAACATTGGTGTGCTTTCATCTGCAGATAGAGTCACCTCCTCCTCTTCCTCCTCTTCGGAAGAGATATATTTAGGGGTCAAACCAGCCGTGCCATGGAATGAAGCCGACCGCAGCACTGGGTTCTGCATACTACAAACAAACAAGGGTAAGTTTTGAAGAGTTCTGTTTTCTGGGATATAACATCACATGGTCCAGTGAATGTCTGCTTGCTGCATGCTTCATGCTGGTTTCTTGCTTGGCTTATTCTTCAGCTCTGAAGATAGCAGCATTTTCCTCCAAAATATCAGTCAACTTTCACCAAACTACATGGCATTATATCCCAGAAGACAGAATTCTTCGTAACCATCACTGTGAGAACCTCAAATCCTACAAAGGTAGGCTCAGAAGTCTCCAGTGCATCAATCTGTATGCAGTTTCTGCAGAGAAATGCCTAATATGATTTGGTATAAATGTGAAATGGAACCAGAGATAAACTATTTGATCACCATTATACAGTCAGAGAATTTCTCAACATTGTTCATAGTACTTAATAATACCCACAACATATAATAATTTTGTTATAAGAGTTTGGTCAGTATGGAATAGCTGATGACAATGTATATGTCTTATTTTATCTAACTATTAATCAGTTGTTTATAACAGCAAGTCATCAGTATTACCATGCTCTACAACAATTTAAAAATAATGAATGTGTCTTTCTTGTTACTGTTTTCATGGTACGTGGTGTGATCAAGCAATTTCTGGATATATTTTCTTCTCTGTGATAATTGCATTTACCCTCCACTACATGCTGCCCATTCAAATTAGTTCCCATGTGACTTGATGCAAAGAATCCAATGATTGTGCCAGTGTCAGAAACATTAGCAGAAGCTCTCTGCTTTGAATATGGCAAGTATACCCTATGACTGTTGTTGAATTGTGATGATGATCCATTCTGCTCATGGACAGATACTCTAAATGCTTAGCACTGTTAACCAATGTCAATCTATTTTTTTAATTTGAAAATTCATCTGCTCACTGTCTCTCCTCTGAAAGGAAGCTTTAACATCTCACAGGTTATGGTAGCAGTTTTTCCTAGTTTTAAGCAGAACTTGATGCACACATGGATGTTCTTTCAAATCTGTCATTTCTGATAAAATGCAGATCAAAAGAACACAACACATCTCATTTCACAAGGTGCTAGGTGTGACTGATGCAAGCTACAACTCTGAAATGAACAGCAAATGACTCATAAAATTCTACTCTACTTCCACGTAGCACAGGTGTTTTATCCTAGCTGTAGTAGTGTTATATTGTGGCCAATCTGGTAACTAACTGATATTGTATTTTTCAGTTTAAATGACATGCACAAAGGCACACTTTATCATATTTCTAAAAAAACAGTTCATTGTACTCAACAAAGCATGAAACACCATTTAACCAATCATGTGGTTATGACATCTGCAGATGTCATGTGGTACTGTGTATCACAGTGGCCATGACGTCTATAGACATCATACATATTTCTAATTACTCTGTTGTAGATATAATTCCAGTCAGCAATGGAAACTTGTATGTTTTGCTTGCAAGATGCTCTAGCTACTTCAGAGTGTGACCGGAAGTTGTTGATTGCTTGATAACTTTCCTGGGTTCAAGTTCTTTCGACCAAACATTATGGCAGGTCCTAGCAAGAAGATATGAGTATGTGATGAAGAGGTGTTTTATGAACTGTTCAAGAGAACGAATACAGTGGTATTTCAGAGAGTGAATATAGTAGTGATAGTGAAATACACGTAAATATGATGGTGAATATAGTGACAGCCCTGATGAAATAGGAAATGTCAGTGATGACAGTAGCATGCAACCTGATGTACTGGCAAATTCAAGTGCTGAGCAACGACATTTTCAATTTACTGGTAAGCCTGGCATAAATGTTGATTCCAAAGACCTCAGTAACCCCCTGGAATATTTTGAGTTGTTCTGTACACCAGAAATTGTGGAAATAATAGCCAGGGAAACAAATCGATGCGACCAAAAATTTTTTAGAAAATACGTCTAATCTAAAACTAAAATCTAGGGCCCATCGCTGGGCTGGTATTGAAAACTGCATAATTATAAAGTATTCACAGTATTAGTGTGATTGAGTAACCGGGTTATACATTCGATGCAACAGGGTATGCTTGGACCGTCCCAGCATTATATCTCGGCTGCTCCATGGCACTGTGCCGCTGTCAGTCAGCGAAGATGGTTGGTGTGCTCAACACATCCACATTGTATGAGCAGCGAAGTGTTATTCATTTTCTATGGAGCAAGGGACGAATGCCCATCGAGATCCATAGGGAAATGCAGCTGACATATGTGGACAAATGTCTTGCTTTGAGAAGTGTGTGGTGGTGGTGGTGTTCTAAGTTCACTAATGGCTGGGAAGACCTTAATGACAATGAGCGGTTGGGGCAGCCTCTCACCTCGCTCACACTGGACAACACTGCCCGCGTGGATGCAATGGTGAAAGCGGATTGGTGTGTGCACCTAAAGGTCATTTCCAAGGAGCCTGGCATTTTGTATGGCAGTGTTTATAATATCATTCGTGATTTCTCGGGGTATCACAAGGTTTCATGTCCGTGGGTGCCTAAGCTGTTGGATGATCTGAACAAAGCCAAGAGAATGATGATGTCACTGCCACATTTGCAGCATTACTTCAAGGAGGGTGAATGGTTCCTAGATCTCATTGTCACCGGAGATGAAACGTGGGTATTGCATTTCACTCCTAAATCCAAGCAGCAGAGCATGGTGTGGAAACATCCCGGTTCGCCTGTCACAGAGAAATTCCGCAGAATGCCATCCATCAGGAAGTTGATGGTCATAGTCTTCTGGGATCGCTGAGGACCACTCCTGCTGGATTTCATGCCACAAGATGCCACCATCAACGCGGACAGCTATTGTGACATACTCGCACGTCTACGAGCTGCCATCAGGAAAAAGCGCCTGGGGATTCTCGCGGACGATGTGGTTCTCCTCCATGACAACACTAGGCCTCACGTGGCAAACATGACTGCAGCCCAACTGCAGTCATTCAGATGGGCGATTATGGAGCATGCACCGTATAGTCCAGACATCGCCCCCAGTGATTACCACGTCTTCGGTCCACTGAAGAAGTTCCTGGCAGGCCAGAGATTCATTTCCGACAACACGAAAACCGCTGTCTGGCAGTGGTTCCACGGTCAACCGGCTGACTTCTACAACAGTGGTATCTCCAAACTAGTGGTGCGATGGGACAAATGCCTGAACTGGGGTGGTGACTATGTGGAAAAACATTCAAAGGTATTTACATCACTGCATGTATTTTGATTTCCCTGTATGTGTATTATTGTGGCTAAAAAGAATAGGGGCAAAGACTTTTCAATTTGCCCTCGTATGTAGGAATAACACAAGAAAAAGAACAGCTCAATTGTCAATTAGAATTCATTTCACTGAGGGACTCTGTGAAATATGCTAATGCTGTAGAACACAAAGTGCTGGGTCGACATTCGTCAGACAAAACAGTGCCCGTCTAGAAGAAAGAAATTATAGGCTTACTGTGCAAAAAAATACTTTTAAAGCAGTGTGCATCAATATACGAATTCTCTATACATTTCTGAATGTAGTGTGAAAATTAGAGAAACAAAATCCTAGTTTTTCCCGCTTTATTACACTTTAAGTGAAATGTTGCACTCTATTTAAATATCCTCTGGCATAAGAATTGAGTAGGAATTTAAATGCCTGCCGGCAGTGAAGGGTTAATATGTCACTGCAGGAGAGATAAGAACACAGAAAAGAACCACTTGACTGGTTGGTCATACTCCATAATTTCTGTCTAAAGATTTAATTTTATTTAGTGACATAAATACAGCAGTTTTTGTCATTCTTCCAGTAGCAGTGAAGATGGGCTGAGTTTTTCATTCCAATGAGGGTGAAGCCCTCATAGCATGCCAAAGCACCATGCCATGAAGGCATATAAGGAGGTGGCGATAAGGAGCCATGAATTTTTAACCTCAGTGCCAGCTGGGAGATAGTGATCAGGTCTCTGATCTAGCCACTTAAAGAGTGTACCCACCGGGTAGGAGACTGGATGAGTACAAGTACCTGTTTCATCAGAATACATTCACCAAGAGGGCTGATAATTACACATCACAAACATTTCCACAGTATAAGAATGCCACCCAGCTGAGTAAACTGAATGAAGTCAGTACCTAGAGGAAGACACCTCAGAGGGCATGATGGAAGACTGTGTCATGCTGCTGCTCATTGTCGCCTTCTTTGCAGCTTCTTTCTTCTTGCCTTCAGCAGCAGCCTTCATGGGGTCATAACTTTTCCTTCGCTTCCAATTCTGGAATTCCACTTCCCTGGAGGACAATGTTGAATTACTCCGGCCACCAGCACCACCTGATTTCCTGTTCATATCCTTTTTTAGAGAGACAGCAGGTTTTGGAGCATGGAGAGGCTGAAACAATGGGCATATGTGTAATAAGAAAGCAACTTGATGATCTGCTTATCAACCTCTGCTCACACTAATCTCTGGTGAGTAAGTTTTAAAACTTTAATTAAATGCACATAACTATCACAAGATACACACATATAATTAATGTGAAATGTAACATGACCCCTATGTCAGGCAGCACTGGTTTTCCCAAGTTACAGACAATTGCAAAGATACTACTACCAATTCTTCCACATCACCCTCATTTTCTCATTTATCATGATAGTCAAATATTAACATAGAGGTTAAGAAGAAACAAAGAAGAGGAAAACTTTGAGATGAAAGTTCTTCGCCTTTTTTTTTTATTTTTTATTTTTAGATCTTACAAAAGCCTTCGATGTAATAAACCATGACCGGTTACTTACTAAATTGGACTTGTATGGGCTTAGAGGAAAAATCCATGAGTGGATGACCTCGTATCTAACGAATAGATTCCAATATGTAGAAATTTATCACCAGGACCATGTATCCTGTTATTCTAAGTCCTTTACCTCGTCACTTAAGGAAATTAAACATGGTGTTCCGCAGGGATCTGTTTTGGGTCCTCTGTTGTTTTTATTATTCATTAATGATTTGCCATATGCTATACCTCAGGCTAAGGTTGTACTATTTGCAGATGACACTAATATATTGTTCACTGATAACTCTCTTAGTTCTTTAAATATAAAAATCAAAAAGGTTATTGATCAACTAGAAAGTTGGTTTAATGTGAATCAACTTTTTGTTAACACTGACAAGACCAAAGTATTATTTTTCCATGGAAAAGGATCTACTTCTAGGAACAGACCGGTCATACGTTTATTCAATAGGGAATTAGTATATTCATCTTCGGTGAAATTCTTGGGTATTGATATCTCTGAAAATTTGAGCTGGTTGAATCACACTCAATATATCTGCCTTAAGCTNCATAAACATAATCTGTATGCCCAACATTGTAATACAAATCGTTGTAAGAGAAGTGTGATAAACATGGGCATAAAACTATACAATAATCTTCCTATGGAGTTAAAGAATGTATCTGATTTTAAAGTGTTTAGGAGGAAATTGAAGTGTTATTTGTTGCATAATGCCTTCTACTCTCTTCAGGAGTTTTTTTTATATGTATGATGTTGAATTAATTGACTGTAATTGTCTGTTAATGCATGTGCTGGTGGTTTTTTATATAATATATTTAAGTATTTATGTATTTTTTGATTATGTTAGGTGTGATTGTTATTAAATCTATATATTCCCTTTGACTTTATCCGATTGTATATTTTACAGTTATGGATGTAAATAAAATTATGAATTATGAATTATGAATCATGGTAGCTAGGAGAGCAGGTTTCTCTACATATGAGTGTTTGACAAGATAACATTCTCAAACATTATTACACATGATCAGTTCTATCTTCTATGATACAATGTCATGTAATCTTGTGGGAGTCAACAAACATATTCCTCCAAAGCACTGGTTGACTTTCACTGGAGTACATGACATTACATCCCATAATGTAGAACTCTTCACAACCAGTATTGTGAGAACCTCAAATCCTACATCACCAGATATGTTATGCAAGGAGCACTGAAATTCTGCCATAGACTGCATGTTATGACTGACTCATGAACATGCACTGCAGTGTGTATTGGTGCACACTGATCAGCTATAAAGGAATGAACGATTACTGAAGCTGAAGACTAGGTAAGCACTGTAAGAAATGCAGTCTTCACCCAGAAACTTAGGATATCCCACAGTTCACAACCAGGCACCAAGGTACGCACCTGAGAAATAGTTCTGGGAGCTCGCACACTGTATCTTCCACAGTCTGTCCTTGAGAAGGTATCAGGCTTGGGGCTTTTTCCCTTGGCTGTGCTTCTGGCTTGAGCACTTTTTGGAGGGTCCACATTTTTCTTAGATTTGTTAGCAGGATTGGTAACTGTGGAAGGTGCTACATCAGTCTTCTTTCGTCGACTGTCTCCAGCAGCTGATGATGGCTCCTCAGTGTCTAGTCGAGCACGACGTAGACTAAAATAATCAGGTACAAATTGATCAGCAAGATATGAACCACATACTATATGTTTTCAAGCCCAAATATAGGCACAAAGTTCACATGTTATGATACACATGCAAGAACTATATAGCAATGTGGTCCATTCAGTTTGCTTTTTTCTAATTTCCTATCCAACTCCTTTATAAACGACATTTCCTGAGCAGCTGAAAGCTATGAAATGTATCATGAAATTCTTGCAAATGATCATAAACATCCACAATTAACCCCTGACCTGAACCAATCCAATTTTCTTCCCATTCTCACAACCTATTTCGTAACATTTATCTTAATATTTTCCTCCTACATCATCTCCAAAAATTAGGCACAAATTTCTTGTTTGCTGCATCTGATTTACATGTCAAATTCATTACATTAAATCCTTGTCCAGAACAAATTTGCTTATACATGCAAAAAAAAAAGTGTTAACAATCATTTGCTGAATACAGAAAATTTAAATATACAGCCTGGCAAACATGCTCTAGTATTTTCTCATAAGCTCTCCAACACTGCCCTATTTCTCTTGCACATCACCTTTCACCTCAGTCTTTCTGCTAATGCATCGAGTTGAATGAGTTGTGTTTGATTGGTTTTGGAGTTACATTGCCTTTATACAGCATTATGGCATCATAACATAAAGCAGCTAAAGGTGGTAGGGAAGAAAATAAGTCATTAGGTTATAACACTAAATATACAGAGTCTTCCTTGAAAGGCTGTATCACATACTCTAACCTTAGTCATCATCTAGCAAGAAAAAGGAATCAAGAATTGCAGCTACTATGCTTCACTGATGTACATTTCATAAAATAAATAAAATATTTATGAGAATTTACCATCAAAGTAGATGCTCAAATTGTCTCCCTTCCACTCTTAAGCAAACTTAAAGTCTCTTGGAAGGACTGACACTTATCTGAGTTCACTGATCTCAACAAATGCCATTCTGTCACATGTTGTGCCCAAGTTCATACAGTGTGTGAGGATTATTTGAATACACTTTGTTTTCTAGGTTACCCTGTAGATAAAAATCACAGGGATTTAAGCCTGGAGACCTTGTAGGCCACATTCTGTGATTTGTCTGTCTTCAGACACTTCACTTAAAATATTATGGACTAATTAACAGTATGCCATAGCATCATGTTGCATAAAACCATCTTTTCATTAATGTTCCCAAAAAAGGGCCAAAGAATGTCACCCATATATAATTCAGAATTAGCAAGCTGTTAACAAATTATGGGTCCTACCATTCATGCAGCAGTAATATTACATTTCCGATCATAAAAGGATACTTCAAAGGCCTGTCTCAGATTAATACTACTCCAGTACCTATACTTCTGAACACTGTTATATCCATGCAGATGGACCCAAGCTTCATCATAAAAATGTAATATCTGGGCCAAGTACATTGTCATGTACTCCCAAAGAAACTAGGTACAAAAGTGCTTTCTTCTGCCTTCATCATATGAACCTGCCTAATTTTATAAGGCATTAGACTTAATTCTACAGTCGGTCTCCATGTTGTTCTCATCTAAGCCCATGCCTGTTGAGATAATCATGTCAGGGTTTTGCAAGGTGAACAGTCTAATCTGACTCCAGTTTCATCAAGCCTTCCCTCACTTGACACAACATTATGTCTACAGCATTTCTCATTTACAAATATCCAGTGGAACACACTATCTTCACCAATCTGAAAATCAGTGATAAAGCTGAATTTTGAATACCAGGATACTTACACCAAAACCTTCTTTTACACAATATTTGATATATTTTTTCACGTTAAGTACTGAACAGAACAACCTGCTGTTCACATGTATACTTCCATCATCTCAACTCATTACTGAAAATAAGAACACAAAACAGACTCCTGACTGATCTTACAAGGACTGTTCAAGTGTAGTGATAGCACTACAGAATTAACAATAACAGAAACATTGTGTAGTAACAAAGCTGGTGGCCCCTCTGCTCATGTGTTTGCTGCATCCAGCTCGTTCAACTACCACATGCATATTTTTCTCACAGTCTGCCAGTCCACAAAGACTCTGCATAAAGATTCTGGATAACCTGCATGACAGTACAACAGCAGCATCAGAAGATTTTCTATTGAACTGATGTTTCTGGATTTGGTTGTTAGTGTGACTTGATGCATTTATTATCCACTTCCTTTTCTGTCTTAGGTTTAGGTCTTCATATACATTTCCACAATTTTATTGTAAATTTTCCTTTTAATTTCCACTGACAAAACCTGATTTCAGGTGCATATGTAGATGCAGTTCTACTCATTTCAGTTGTCTAGTGGATTCAACATGGTAGGTGTTCTAAATTTTTACCTCTAAGTGGAAACATGTTTTGTTTCGTAAATGTATTCATTAGAATACATCAGGATTGACAAAGACAAAAAGTTTGGTAATTCTAAACTTTGCTGTTCCTTACTCAGACAACTTTTTTTTACCTTTATATATAATGATTTTGGCTGGAATCAAAATTAAGCCCTATTAAATAACCAATATTGCAGCCTGAAGAATTTATCTTATGGTAAGAGCTTTTATTTTCTCCTACTGTTTGCTAATTTCTTTCTCAAGGACAGGAAGCCATATAGAATATATGACACCTTATCATAAAATTCCACAGTCTTCTGTTAGAAAGACATGCTACAGGGATAATAAACCATACATTTTTAAAACTTGTTCTGACTTCATCCCAGCTATAGGAGGTTTCTGCTTTGTATTGGCTGTCAGTAAAACCCTGTCGTCATTTAGGTCACTGCACTGTAAAACTGGTTAAATTCTGGACAAATGCATGTGCACAAAGTTCTACACGAAATTTGTAAAAGGAACCATAGAAACCTATAAAATTCTTAAATTTACATTTTGAGAAAAACCTCTTAGCCACATTATAAATTTGAGTATTTTGCTTGATTTAAGAAGGGGAGAATTTCCATCCATCTTCACCACACACAAAGAAAACAGTAGTAGTTCATGTTTGTGACAAAATTTATAGAGATAAAAAGACAATGAGGAACCTTATTATGATGCTCTGAGGCATCTGGAAAATGAAATTTGATGGAAATTGCCTAAAATCATAATTTGGGTTCCCAATGGTCAAAGGTGCATTAGTTTACTCAACACTCTCAATACAGGAATTCTTGCATTTCATTCCACAGGTTTCCCAGCCGCCACCTCATTATATTTAGATCTGGTGACCTCTTTCTTTTGTGTCATAGGTGAAAAACATTCAAGAAGGAAAAAGATTTCAGAAGATGCCACACATCATCAGAAGTACAGCACAGCAGAAAAATCTTCCAAAAGAGGACTACCAGAAGTGCTTGAATAAATTGATAAACTCCTCAGATCACTTTAATCTGTCACAAAAGACATTACCTTGAACAGAATAAGTTTCATTAACAAGTACAGCTGTAAGCTTTTACAAGAAATATAAAGTTCTATAATTTTATCATGTGAATTGGGTTTCTTGGTTCCAGTGCTCCATAACTGTCAACCCGCAAGAGCTTGTTTCAAGTTCAGTAATAGAACAGTATACCTGAAAGCCCTGTTGTATCTCATCTGAGGTGCAGGTGCAGGAACTGCTGCTACAGGCAGATCCTTGCGCTTGGGCTTGCTGTCAGTGCCTCCACCACCAGTATCACTGCTGCTGTCAGAGTGTGCTGCAACACTTGACCTTCTAAAGGTAAGATGCTTGTCTACACCTGCAGTAATGTAAAACATGCAGTAACAGTACATGAGTCTTCCTTGAGATGATGAGTTATTCGGCTGCTGCTATATAATAACAAGGTTCACCCCTGTCATCACAAAAGCCCACCATCAGATTCCATCCTCAGTCAGTCATAGCATTCAGTTCCCATTCTTCAAACCATTTTCTATGATCCACTTAAATACAATTTCTGACAATTAAATTACCACACATTCAGTAAAACATATTGTATTAAACTGTAGTGAGATGGTCACACTCCAAGTACATGCAACTTCATACACATTTCAATGTCTCTACCATGCCTGTAATCATTGCAGAAAATTATTTTATAAATGTCTTTTCAATACTCTTAATTACATAATTTTAAATGTTTTCAAGGTATTTAAAATGGGATGATTTCAAGGGCCTCCTGGGTTTCAGGAATTTGAAAAATCACAAAGTGCCACATGAGCTGCATATAGTGGATGTTCAACACTAATATGTTTTCTTGCCAAAACTCGACTTCACCAATTGGGAAAACAAAATCAAATGCTGATTTCACTTGTCTAGCCAAAGAATCTGAACTTTCTTGATAAATGTGTTTAGAAACTTCTAAGGTATAATGGCGATTGACCATTTACAAGGAACAAATCCATAATCCCTAATAAGCAGATCAGTTTGATTTGTTTTGTCATACTGAAAGACCTACACAAATGTCTTTTTTCCTTATCTTTTATTTACCAATAAGATTTTGTGATATGATTATGTCACACACATTCTTCAAGCCCATACGGCTACTTAAAGTTATTCTTGTGGTTTCTCTATTCATGTTCAGGTCTTCTATCTTCAAAGCAATGAACTGAAGATCATTTCTAACAATTTCAGCCACTTTTCCCAGTATGATCAGATTCTGAAGTGTTAACAAGACCAGATATTTCACTGTTCTGAAAACACTTAACTGACACAAAAATTTGTTTTCTACTCACTGTTCTCTCTCTCCATAAACTTTCCATAACATTTTGTACGTCACACTTCTCGAACTTCATTAAAAATGTAATGCTGATTCTAACACTGCACTAGCAAACACTTACTCCAACTGCATAACAAACTGAATCCCAATGAATGTTTCACACAAAACTGCTGAATCAGTAATGTGAAGTGGCATGTGACAACTCACCAGTGTTGCTAGTTGCTGCACAAGAATCCTGGTCATTTGCCAGAACTTGTATTCTCCTCCTATGTATGCAAAGATCTCCAAGAAACTTCTCCTGAGATTTTCCAACAGGTACTTGTATCCACTTCTTGTTTTCATCACCTGTGTTCTATGTTTCTGTATTTCTCAATTTAATTATTCTAACAGTACCCAGGGCCACAACATGTGATCTTTCAGCAGATATTATCATGGCTCTGAATGGCATAATAACTGTTAATAAAAATTTCAAAAGCAGTCAAGTATTATTAAATGTGGGGACTTAGTGTAAGGTACTGATCATCTATGCAGAAAGTCTTACAGTGAAGACCAGTCTGACCTACTGCACTTTTTCTACAAAAATATCTTTTCCCGTGCCTCTAATAATATAAACAGTGCATGGGTGGGTGGGTGTGGGTGTGGGGGGGGGGATCAAGGCAGAACTGTGGCTTGGATCTCTCATTAAGCTATACTTGTACATCCCCTATGCCAGCCATCACCTTCACTACCATCCTATTATCAGGGGCAAAATGGAAATGTAACAATGCAGATTCCTACCCTCACCACAGCCAGGCAGGCAGAGGCCAGAATGGTCAAAAACAATGACTGGAGGCATAAGCCACAGGAGAACATCAATACTGAATACAACAAATTTTGGTACATACCCCCTCCTGTGGTGGAGCCTGGGGGTGCCTGGTAACTGTGACTGGTGTCCACATCAGACTCTCCTCCTGAATCCAGTGAGAAACTCATGCGGGCCTGCATTGCTGTCACAACTGATTCTGTCGCTCGGAGGAATGATTCTGTTTCTAAACTGCTGTCACTGTGGCCATCTACAGTCTCCTGCACATATAAATGTGCTTCCTTAGCATACTGATTCTTGAACTTGTTAGGAACAGTGCAGTCATTAGACAGGAAAGCAGGATGATGATCACCACCATTATCATATACTTCAAGGCTTCTATGCTGTCTCAGGAATAACACAGCAAAACATAAACAGAAAGGCATAATGTGATGGAGTACACATATCTGTACTTCACTATCTGCACAATCAATTGCACTACAGATACCACACTGCAGAGATGCAGAAATTCCCTATCTCTGTATTTCATTATGTACTCACCACACTGAAATAGCAGACCAATTGGCCAAGAATGGAGCTGAACATCCATTCATAGGACCTGAACCACCCTGTGGCATCTCTATAGGAGTTGCCAGAAAGGCAATAAGGGACTGGACAGATATGAATCACAAGAAATACTGGGGATCCTTGACTGGACTGACGCAGGCAAAGAGACTCATACAAGGACCCTCTACTAAAAGAGCGAAGGAACTGTTGAAATTAAACAGGAATCAGCTACGATGGGTGGTAGGACTACTTACAGGACACTGTCACCTCAAGGACACCTCTTCAAACTGGGACTATTATTATTATTATTAGAGGGGGTGCGTTTCCCCATGCACTTAGACCAGTTATTGGTCCATTGTGTGTCCCCCTTTAATTTCTACTGTCTCCATACCCTACCGGTACTGGTGCGTGCTATCAGCCCCGTTCAGCCAACGAGGTCGGCTGTCGGTACCTGATATTTCCCCCATCTACCAGAGGCATTGGAAACTACTTGGGCGAGAAATTTTTGCCTAATTTTGCTCAGAGGTCTCCTAGAGACATGAGGGTCTTTTACATGCTGTAAATCTATGACAGGGGACCCATGGCTTAACGTCTCTTCCGGAGGACTTGTTCCCTGAATTTTTCCGCCCTTAAAAATTCCACAACCTCCACCGGGTTTGAACCCGTGTACCTTGAGTCATGAGGTGGGAACGTTACCCCTAGACTACGGAGGCCGCTAAACTGGGACTAAGTAATGGTCCAACTTGTGAGAGGTGTCAAGAAGAAAATGAAACAGTCAAACATATCCTATGTGAATGTCAGGCTTTAGCTTATTTAAGATTGCATCACCTGGGTCAATATTATGGAACCAAGTGACTATTTCGAGATCCCTCACGTATAAAATCTTACGCTTCATTCGAAGCACAGGATTGTTGAGGGGATAGTAAGAAGGGGAGGCACAATAGATCACTGTGGTCGCGGTGCAAGGTCCAAGAAGGCCCACCCCCTATACATTCATTCATTCATTCATGCATTCAAAGCTAAAGCAGCTGAAATATGGTTTCTGGGACACCCACCCCCTATAAGACATATATACCTAATTAGATATATACCTAATTAGGAATGCTGACACAGAGGATAACATAAATGTTTCTAATTTAATGGAAGGGAAAAGGAACACAAAAGTGAGTATTCAGTTCATACAAACACTTAACAAGAATGACTAGTACAAGATTCTCTTAAGGATATTTTAAAATACAGGTTATTCATATTATTTTCCCGCAACAACATTAATTAAGAAGGGAATGAATTGAATTCAACATAATTCCAGGATAAGCTTTTACTGACAAATGGAACAGAGGATTACTTTCCCATTTGACACATGTTGATATTTACAAAAATGCATCCCCAACATAAATTGGAGACCAGCACATAACAGGAAGCAAAAGATGAAGATGGGAATGCTTTTCTCTGTGATATCTGAACATGTGTGTGAGCTACACAGTAGACATCAATATTTATGTTATGGTAGACCTTTACCAACTGATGTGTTAAAATAAGAAACATAAATTAAAAATTACTTAAGCTCCACGTAAATTTGCCTATTTCTTTAACAACCAACATAAACTGATGGATAATCCTGAGATATGAATTGCTTTCAAGACTTACCTGCATGGGTAATGGGTTCAGAGGACAGTGCAAGTTTATGGGAGCTGTGTGTTGTGGTGATAAGTAAAGCCTGCATCCTGTGGGTTGTGACACCCCAGGGCTGAGGATTGGAGATGGAATCCTTGTCAGCACCACTTGGCTCAGATCACCTGCCGGTGAGTAACATAATCTCTCAAACAAAAATCTGTGGCTCAGGAATATATCCACCAAAACCTAAACATACGACAACCATGGTAACACAAAAACTAACACTACATACATTCAGTGTTTTGAAATGCAATGGACTGACCATGTGCATCATGTAATTTCATATGATATCCATGTATAGACATTCTTACATTTAGCAAGCAGAACTCTGAATATCCAAAAATGAAGCTGATTCCATATTGATAAAGGAAACCTAAAACTCTTCACTGAAACAGTAAAATGCTTTGATTGTCTTTTGATAAACAAAATATTATAACAGAGTGTAGGAAAAAATAAGATGGAGAATTTTACTCTGTATGTTTATTTAAAATGATAGTCCATAAGACATACTCGTACATTCTATTTTCAATGCTATTCAGACTATAACAATTTTTTTGCTTTGTTTTGAGAACAAACTTCCAGCAAATTAAGGGCTCCATCTTCTAGCATATAATGCAGTATAGTCCAGTGAAAGTAAACTAAATTTTTGAAGGGACATTTTGCTTCCATTTTCATGGTTGAAGAGTAAGGTAAACAAGAAAGCAGCAGCAAGAAGAACCATATCCTGAAGATGGAGACAATATGATCCTCCAAAACACTGACTTTCACTGGACTGCACAGCATTATATCCCAGAAGAGACAATTCATCAAGCCACAGCTATGAGAACCTCAATTCCAAAAAATTTTCTGTCAGCCATGACCAGGGGGAAGGAATCTCCTACCATCTTGATGTTTCCCCAAAGGCAGAGGGGGGAGACCTGCAGGGCACTCCTTTTCTGGATTACTCTTGTGATTGTGTTTAGCCACCTGAGTTGCCCACTCACTTATCCAGCTGGAGCTGTCATGATACGAACTGCTCATCTGCAACAAGTCACTGAAACAATCATACTTTCTTCACAGCTAAACACACTTCTACATTCCACATATCACTTTGTGAACTGAGCATATGTAACTCATTGATAATGTATTGTATCCGTATTCATGATGCATCTGGTTAACATCTCTTGATGGACACTTTCATCATTTTCTTCACTAGGACTAGGCAAACTATAGGATCCTATCTTGAACCATGACACAATAGTGAGCACTCATTTTTCCTGTACAGAGAAGTTGACTGGTTCACAAGGACCTGAATATTCCATCTTACTACGGAATTAATCTACTTGAAGAGCTCACTAACCAGTGATACGTACCGTGAAGTTGTTCTCTTCTTGCTTGTCCCCAACAGCATGAATACCATTCTCTGTATTCAGTCGTCTCTCTACCATTTTCTCTATTTCCAGCCTGGCCTGCTCCACATCTGGGCATGGGGCATCTTTATCAATAGTGTAAGTCCCTGCTTCGCTCACTGTCTCATTAGATGAGTCATTTTTTCCATCCAAATCTAGATCATTCAATTCATCTGTCATGTTCTGAGCTCCTATCTCCTCCTCATCACTAGCACCCAACACAAGCCAGTCCTCTCTAGCAAGCATGTCCTCTGGCTTGAGAGTGCTCAGGTTGTTCAGTGATGTGTTATGCCTCTTGCTCTCCATGCCTGATTCATCATATGCCATCTTCTGCAGAGAACCCTCCTCAGAAAAGTTACTAAACTCACAACTGTCTGTGTGTTCAGAATTCATTGCTTTGTCATGATCAGCCATGTTCTTCTTTTCCTGAGCTAGATTGGTCATTCGCAAACCTTACAAAATGAACATATTTCTTATTGACACAGATATTATGTATCTATAATTCCTAACACTTCAAGCAAAACTAAAATTGAAAACATGAAAAATTAATTAGTAGTGCAATGAGGAGATGGATGAGCCCTTAAATTTCACTTAATTTGACAGATCTGAGAATCTGAATTTTAAAGTTAAGATCACTAAATTTTTCATTCTTAAATTTCACTGTGAACTGAAACTGCAGACATCATAGAGCAAAAACAGGCTAATACCATTTAACACACCAATAAAAAACTTTCAGGAATATTGTGCTAAATAACCAGTATATTGTTATAATCAATTACCAGTTCATTTACTGTGAAGGTACAGCTTTACTGATGAGCAGTAAATAGGCACAACATTGTACTGTCTTTCCACTAATTCCATGAGAATATTGCTAATGTCTAATTATCCTATTTACCAATATATTTTATGCACTTTTTAACCAAAAAATTGTGTCTTACAGCTGTGGTGCATAAAATATGTGAATACTACATTTCAAAGCATAAATTTGAGGTTATAAAAATGATAGCTGCATAATTGAGAAGATGAGTTGTGTGAGAAAGACAAATGATTTCCATCCCTCCCCTGAGTTTGGATCTCATAGTATAACTGTTATATTGCTCATGTTTCACAGACATTCAAATTGTTTCTTACTCTTGCTAATTTAACATAAGGCAACAGGAATAATATGAACTTGACTGCACTGAATATAATAAGACACCTAGCAGGTAGCATATATGACAGGGAAACATCACTGACAATAAGAGATAGTTTTTATGACAGCTTTCTCTTCTCCTCTCCCTCCTCCTTCTCCTTTCAATTTCATAGAATAATGCGTGGGAATCAATTTTTCTTGACATAATGGAGTAGACAGCAATATAATGGCAAAAGCATGCTACGTGGCACATCCACAAAGTAAGTTTCCCACTCGTTCCAGAGCTAGCAAACCTTATATTGCGCGAAGCGACTGCACATACATGATAGAGCAATGACGTAGCATGGCGCATGCACTAATGGAATTTCCCGCATTCCCACAGTAGCATCGTTGCAGCTGTTGAAGATGGAGGCTCTTATTCCAGCTCCCGCCTACTGTGAAGTGCGGTCAGTAATAAAGTTTTTGAATGCAAAGAGCATAGCACCGATCGAAATTCATCGTCAGCTGTGCCGGGTCTATGGGCCTAACGTCATGAGCAAGCAGATGGTGCATCGCTGGTGCAGACAATTTTCAGCAGGCTGACAAAGTGTGCATGATGAGAAGCGCAGTGAGTGGCCATCCGTCATTACAGACGACCTGGTGGAGCTTGTGCGGGAATGCATTATGGAGAATCGCCGCGTCACAATTACGGAACTCAGCAGTCATGTCCCGCAGATTTCCCGCTCCTTGTTGCACAAAATTGTCACAGAGCACCTGCTGTTCAGGAAATTGTGTGCCAGGTGGGTGCCGAAACAACTGACACCAGAACACAAAACATCCCGCATGGAGTCAGCACTGACATTTCTGCAGCGGTACCATGATGACGGCGATGAGTTTCTGGACCGGATCATCACAGGTGATGAAACGTGGATTGCACACATTACCCCAGAAACCAAGCAGCAATCAATGCATTGGCGTCACAGTGGATCTCCCTGTAAGACGAAATTCAAGCAGACGTCGGCGCAGAAAGTGATGTGCATGGTTCTCCACGTCGACTTCCTGACCAGAGGTGAGACGGTGAATGCTGAGCGTTACTGTGAAACACTGCAGAAATTGTGATGGGCCATTCAGAACAAGCGGCGCGGGATGCTTAGTGCCAGTATTGTCTTCCTGCACGATAACGCTAGGCCGCACACAGCTCAATGGACAGCAAGTCTCCTGCAGGAGTTCAGCTGGGAGGTGTTTAATCATCCACCCTACAGCCCAGACCTCGCTCCCAGTGATTTCCATCTTTTCCTACACCTCAAGAAATTCCTGTCCAGTCAGCGTCAGCATTTTGAGAATGACAGAGAGGTGGAGATGGTTGTCACACAGTGGTTCCAATCCCAGGCAGCAGACTTCTATGACACAGGTATTCAAAAGTTGGTCCCACGGTATGACAAATGTCTCATTTCCGGTGGCGATTATGTCGAAAAATAGCTGAACACTTGCTGTATCTGTTGCAATAAATATTTCCATCAAATTGTGTTTTGTTTCTGTAAACAGCCCCAGGGAAACTTACTTTGTGGATGAGCCTCGTAATACTGCTGGACAGTAGCAACTGCTCCTAATCAAAGAGGGAGGTAGGGTGGATGTTTACATTGAGCTGACACAGAATACAGTTCAACAGTCTTCACCAAACAGGCATATTTGATTGATTGTTCCAAGCAGTCATTCCACCCATGCCTGATGTTTGGCTGGCAGAAGCTACAGAGATAGCAGCAGTATCATGACAGAGGCCATGAACAGGGGAGGGTAGAACATCTGGGTAGTGGTGTGCCACTAATAGTACATGGCAGTTATTTCTTTGTTGTTACTGAGACTGTGAATGTGTAAAAATCTTACTGGATACACAACAGCAAATTAATAGTTTTATAAAAATAATAAGCATACATATGTATTCTCTAAATCTATAGTTCCAATTCCGAAGAGATTTATTATGGCTAATCAGGAAAATTGATTTTTCTGACCCAAATTTAACTCATTTCTATATAAATAAGATGAAGTGCTGTACTTTAATAATACATGAATTTTTGTTAATTAACTGAGTTAAGAAAGCACTGCTTCTCTTAGCCATACTGATTCATTTACAAAATCATATCTTCCTGCACTTTGATTATAGATGCACTGGTGTGTGATGTGAAATGTAGTGTCTCTGTGGCTTTTACTTTTCTTTCCACTAAGTATTTTCAAAGAAACTACGCACCCACCAATCCAATACAATGAACAGAAAGATTTGACTCCTCCCATGGAAGATTACAGTAAAACACAGGAACTGATCAGCTATATTTCAATCTACTCAGTCATAACCAAATATGAGATCCATAAGATGATAGAAAATCCAGCGTTATATCAACTGTAATTCAGCTATCCTTGTATTAATAACTTCAGAGCTTGCACCAGCAGCAAAAAATCATGGATGTCAGTGATTGCATGCCTCTTATTCTCTCTGTCTTTCCATTCCTCCCTAACCAGCTGCCTGTACACACCAGTGGGTCCCTGTGTTCACATTTCATGAGCTCATCAAGCATAAATGCTTGTGTGCATTATTTTTAAGTTTTTACAGGAAAATGTCAAACTGATAATAACAAATCAGGAGGCAGGCAATATAATAAGGTCCAGATTACAGTCATACCTATTTAACTGCTGAAAGTTAAGGGTAAAAACATTGTAAACAATCTGTTCAGAAATATGTGTAGAAACATGGATGCATAAATTATGCACATAAAAACAGCAGTATTCTGGGCCACCATTTATAGTATCTGTGCTAACACTTACCTACAGTTTCAGTTCAGGCTGCAGTTTAATCCCCAACATTTAATTAAGCACTTATGGAATTATGGTACAACTTTTTAATTTGAAAAAGTTTCCAAATGAAATACATTTACATTTCTATTAATGTATGAAAGAATCAAAATATACAAGTTTAAAAACTTGTCCTGACCTGTCAAATACTCATAATATCAGAACCATCAAATGAATCCACTCTCTCTCTCTATTATTAACAATTTGTGGTGTACCTGACTACACTGTAAGCACCAGTTACTATTTAAGTATCAGCATTAAATGAACATTTATGGCATAAAAACGTACTTCATAAATTAGGAAGTACAGAATGTCTGAGAATGAGTGCACACATTTTAGACAATTTTTATTGAGAAAAACAGAGCCAGAAGAGTATGGTTTTCTGTTGAGCACACATGTGTTAGTTTCAGTAACAGCTGTATTCCACTCAGCACTTGCTTCCAGAATGGCATCAGATCAACAAAAAGCTGCACAGGACAAATATCATATGTAAAATTTTGACAGTTCAACTGTCATGTGGTGAAAACTGTATGCTTTTGGATGTTTATTTTTTATAAAAATGTTTAAAATGTGCACACCCATTCTCAGGCATCCTGTACTTTTTAATTTATATAAAAGATTTCTAACTTTTATTACATTGTGAAAAATATTACATATGACATGTCAGTCTAAAAATCTGTCTTGTTCTTTGAAATTGTGGTACCACCAAGTCAATAGATGAAGTCATCCAGCTACTACTTGAGATCAAGCCATTATTTATAATTTATATGCTGCTGACAGCCATACTACTATTTAGTGCCAGCATTTAAATAAACATTTACAGATTTACTCATTAGTTAGAGTAAAATGTCTGCAGATATGATATGGCCTATCACAATGAAGGCATAAAAGATGTTGCTTTAGACACTATTGCACTCTACTGTCTGGTATTGCAATACAGTATAAGCCAAACATCAGATTTTAATCCACAGTTCTCAGATGACTTGTCCGATAACTACCTATATTACTTGTTAGCAATTAATTGTATAATTAATAAGGTACAAGTACAATCATGCGGGGTGTTCCAGACCACCACTGAACAACTGTCACACTAGATATTTACACTGAATATTGCACTGTCAGGAAATCCAGTTATGTGTATAGTAAAGATGGAAAACAAACATGCTGTGCCTTTGCTTATGTCAAGTGTCAGACTATTTAGTATGAACCCTCTTTAAGCTCTTCCTCAGTATAACACTACTTCATTTGCAGTGAAGCCACTGTTTCATGCATATAATAGCAGTAACATTTGTGGACCTCTGAGCCATTTAATAAAATCCCTAGTGCTCTTATGCAGTGTACAAGTTAGGGTTACTGCCACCAGGATTCCAGACAAACCCCCTTCCATTTTTCAAATCCTGGATACATGGGCCACAGGATTAATTCTGATCCCTGGCTCTTTAGTCATTAGAATGGGGCCATATCATTACAACTGGTGCAATCCACCAATGGTGACCAAAAGAATATTGCCCTTAAGAATTTACAGGTTAGAGGAATAAAAGAAAATTAAATATGATGGTGGAACATTTGGGATTTATGGAAAATTCCCATATCCCAAGAATATCATACTTCACAAATATGAGACCAAAGAAGACCCAGGATGTCTGTGAATGCAACAGACAGGCTAGTTTTAAGACATTTAGTATAACTATATTTTAAATATATCTAATACTGCATATATTCTATTTATGTTTACAATTTGATCTTAACCTTTTCCACCTTTTTCATTTTCAGTTCCGGAGATACTTCAGTATGGGAAAACATAAAACTCCCCTGCCATCTGTTCATATACAGACTACTAAAAGTGATGCCAAAGAATGTAAAGAGCAAGGACATAACAGTCATAATGCAATCAAATTCATAAACATGGTGCCAGAAGCCTTTGTACACAGCATGGGAAAAGAGTGAAGAGCTGGAACCTCACCCATGATGATGGTATAATGTAGTATTTTCTCCATACCCATGTTTTCTCCAGTCATGATATAACCCCTATTAATTATACTTCCATTCTCAGAAACGATCACAAAAGTGTATTTTGATACTGACATCCTTTAACGCTGAACACGGATAAAATTATATCATATGAAAACAGATTTCATTTTGTAAGATTTGAGGTTTTCACGGCAGTGACTATGAAGAATTCCATCTTCTGGGATGTGGCTCTGTGTAGATATTGTGTAAACCGAAATTTCAGAGGAACGTATCGCCTCCATCTTCAGGGCATAAAAGTCCCAAAACAAGGAACCAGCATGAGCAGGTGTTTGCAGACTGAGTTGTCAGTCGAAAACACCCAGCTATATAAGAACAGAAAGGGAGGGAGTGGGATGGAGGTGATACAGTCCTCTGAAATGTCAGTTTACACAATATCTACATGGGGTCACATCCCAGAAGATGGCATTCTTCAGATTTCATTTTATTTTATTCTTTGTTTTGGCATTAACTAAGAAAGATTTGTCACCATGCTATGAAGATATCAGTCACAAAAGTAACTGCATGGATTCAGTTCTCAGTATACGAGGGGGGACCCATAAATAACCGGAATTTATTTTTGTTATTTTTTATTTTTGCATTTTTATTGAACTGTATATTAGTCCCCTTCAAAGTATTGTCCATGTGCATTAATGCACTTGTCCCAACGCTTTTGCCACTGCTCAAAACAGTGCTGGAATTCTTGAGGCTGAATACTGTTCAAAGCCTTTAGCGTGTTTTCTTTGACTTCATCCACATCACAGAATCGCTTTCCTTTCAGACTTCTCTTCATCCATCCACATCACAGAATAGCTTTCCTTTCAGACTTCTCTTCATCCGTGGAAACAAAAAAAAGT